TTTGCTGATCCTAAGCAAGTCCGAGATGCTGTTCGCTTGATCATGTCTGCCGAGAAACCTCTTGTTATTATTGGAAAAGGCAAACCTCTAAAATATCCTTAAATTTTAAATTCTAAAATAATTTTTTACAAAGTCAGTGGCATAATGTTACTTTTTTTTTCTTTTTTTTTTTGGCCACATTATAGTGAGTTTTAATTTGTCAGTAGATAGCCAGGTGGGATGGAAGAAATAACCATGTGGAATGGGAGAAATAGCCATGTGGAATGGGAGAATTAGCCAGGTGGAATGAGAGAAATAGCCAGGTGGAATGGAAGAAATAACCATGTGAAATGGGAGAAATAGCTAATAAGTGGAATGGGAGGAAAAGCCAGGTGGAGCCTTAGCGAAGTATGTAACTATTTTTGGGGAGACGACTAACCCTGTGTAAAAAGTTCCACCCAAAGTTGTCCCTATTAGTTGTTTTAGAACATAAAAAAATATTTAGTTTTGGAACCAGGTATGGCAAATATTCGCATCCATCTGCTTCTATTGGGGAGCCATTTCCAACTATCAATACTAAATATTCAGAACTGGCACCTGGTAGAAAATGTCTGCCTTTTCTAACGCTGATTTCTGTACTATCATCATCATAAACAAACTTCTATTTTGCAGTCAAAGTAATTAATCTATGACAATGCAATACCGGTTCTAATTACTGATTCATTCTTATTCCCATTACAAATCTTTTAAGAACTTAAGAGTAAACTTTCTCTGTGTGCAGGTGCTGCTTATGCCCAAGCAGAAAATGAAATTGGTCAGCTACTTGAAATGATAAAACTTCCATTTCTTCCAACACCAATGGGTAAGGGAGTTGTGTCCGATGACAGCCGGCTTTGTGTTTCTGCGGCTCGTTCAAAGTAAGTCATGAATGACAGAATAATTTGGTTAATAAAATATTCTGTAACAAGGTAAAAGCCAGTATTTATGAAATAATTGTTAAAAAATAGTAATAGTTTTATTTGTTTTGTTTCTCCCATTCCACCTGGCTGTTTCTTAAATCAGACTCAGACTATGCATTATTCAATTTGATTAGCTAAAATTATGCTATGGGGTATTGAGTGTAGGGTCAAAGGAATGTTTATTTCATTTTAAATCAAATATAAAATAATTTTTAAAATTTAAAAAAAAAATACTTTCTATCAAAGATGAATTTAAACAAACTAAAAATGTAGAAAATAATGTAAAATTTCTTAAAATGCATGATGCAAAGAAAGACAGTGCAAAAGTGTAGATGAGTTCTCTATGTAGCCATATGATTCAAATGGAATGTAGGCAAAACTTAAATGTTTTATTTTTATAAATTAAACAAAATATTATAATGAGAAAGACTTAATCTTAAAATTTCACGTCTGTAAACACACAAAAAATAACACTCCACAAGATGGAAATGCAAGTATAAAGTCTTTATAAAAAAATTGTCGTTCTTACAGTAGTACTCTTCTTCTTCTATTTATTAAGGGCGCACAATCAATTTATTGATCGTTCTGGCTCCTATGCATGTAGAGGGTATTTGCAATGTTTCTGTGCCTGGTGTTGAAGAGGATATTTCACTGGTTGCAAGGGCTACTCAGCGAGGGTATCATGAACTGGGGGTTGGAAGGCCTATGGCAATAGCTGTGGTATAATGTATCCCTACATTTCAAATGCAAAAATAAAACTCATATTACAGATCATATGTATTACAGATTATCAATATAATCTTTTTTTAAAGAGCTCTTCAAGAAGCTGATGTCATTTTATTGATTGGGGCAAGACTGAACTGGATGCTACATTTTGGAGCACCACCCAGATTTAATTCCAAAGTTATGATTATTCAGGTAACTGGTTCCTGTTCTCTGCTAATAGTCTCTAAATGTAAATGGGTTTGGGGAGGGGGAAGGATTTGTAATTTTTGCATCACATCTTTAATTTACTGTTACCAGGTACCGGGTAATAAAAATGCTAGAGATTAAAAGGTTGATTGTATTTTTTTTAAAAATAACTTCTTTTCTTTGGTTCCAAGAAAATTTTATGCCAACATATTTAGACTACAAAATATGTATAAAAATATTCTCGGTATTGTCAACTGCCGCTGTTTCAGGTCGATATTTGTCTGGAAGAGATAGGGAATAATTGCAAACCTGCCGTTGCACTTGCTGGAGATATTAGGGCTGTCACTCAGCAGGTAAAGGATGATTGAGTTCTACTAAAATTTTATGTTTAGAGTAAGATAGCTTCATGAATATGTGGTAGTAAAAGATTATTAGAATTAAAAGAAAATAAAACTACATGTTTTAAAGGTATTGTAGGGGAGCAAAATTTATAATTTTTTTCACATTTTAAATGAAATAAGCACATTTACTATTAAAATATTATGACATCAAGTTATTGTTCTTGCTCAGCTCATAGGTGAGTTCCAAAGCCAGGGACTCTTCAAATTCAATACTAATTCACCTTGGTGGTCAACATTGAAGGATAAAATAGATGAAAATTTTCAAAATGTTCAGGTTGGTATTGGTGGCATAATTTCTACAATATACACAGCTCATTTTTTGTCAAGAAAAAAAAAAGAGGAAAATGGGAGGGGAATTCTCATCTGAATCCAAATGTTATATCTTTGCATTGTACAATTTATTTCATTTAATAAGATTATTTAAAAGATTGACCAAAAAAAAAAAATGTTTTTAAATCATGCATACTTCATTATTTTAAAATATTTTATACATAGGAAATGTCAAAGGATGGGACTGTGCCGTTAAATTATTACGCAGCATACTCAGAGGTAATTTACATTTATTTATATTATAAATTGTTAAGTGCTTTATGCAATAGATATTATTATTAAGTTTGGAAAATGATCAGTATTATTTTATGGAATTCATTTAATTCCACTAATGCAAGACAAAATGATAAAAATAATTAAACATTGGATAAAACAATGACAAAACTAAATGGAGTGTTCTCATTAGTTAGTGGCCTCAAAAACCTTACCTAGTATCTGTTATGATATTGAAAAATAAAATTGTTGACTGAGCTTTTACACCGCAGAAAGCTACAACTTGTAGGCTTGCTTTCATTAATGACAGGTGCAGAAAGCTCTCCCAGTAGATTGCATTGTTGTAAATGAAGGGTCCAACACAATGGACATAGGTCGAACAATGTTACCTAACTTGTATCCCAGGCACAGGTCAATGTTTATTTACTTCTTACAAATTAAAAAATATTTTACTTCTTGGTTTGTTTCTTAAAATAGCTAATCTGCTCGCTTGGAATTGATTTGAAAAAAATTACACAATACTCAGATAAGTTTAATTTTAGCACTTGCTAAATTTGAGTGATGATCAGATTTTGATTGTTAAAATTGTTCTGTTCTTGATCAGTCTTCTTTTAACGGGGAGGGTAAAGTTGACAATATAATTGTGAAAATTATAATTAGAAAAAAGAAATAGCACTTTAAAACTGTTATTTAATTTTTAAAAGTTTGACAAATACTACCTGCAGGGTATTTTTTGTAAAGAAAATGTTCTCTTAGGCTTGATGCTGGCACATTTGGAACCATGGGTGTAGGCATAGGATTCGCCCTGGCGGCAGCAATATATTGCAGGGATTACCAACCCAAAAAGAGAGTTGTGTGCGTAGAGGGCGACAGTGCTTTTGGTTTCTCAGGAATGGAGGTGGAAACAATAGCTAGGTAAATGAATTTATGTTTCCAAATAATTAGTTTCCCTAAGAAAGGAAAGCTTCAGATCCACTTTTCACTTAGATTTTAAAAAATTAAAAGATTATTTATTAAAATTAAATTTATCATCTCAACATAATCATTTTAATTTTTAGGTGAATCTCATGAACATTTTGGTCTAGTGTCTATTAATGTTTAGTTCCCATCTGGTTTAAATTGAAGAGTCCTGTGCTTTTGATAGTTAAGCAAGAACTAGGTCTCAAAACAACCTATTTTCATTAGTACTCTTATTACCATATGTTGCGATATTCACAATGGCTACTGATATTTTTCACTTCATCCTTATAATTATTGTAAAGGTATCGACTACCAGTGATAATTGTAATTTTTAACAACAATGGTATATCATTCGGCATCAAAGATGAAATGTGGGAGACAGCTGAAAAGACAGGAGATCTATTTCTTACGTAAGTATTGAATCAGTAGACTAGAAATTTGTTACATTTGTTAATGTAGCTTAAACTTTCTTTCTTCTTATTCTTTATTGCAGACTCACTATAACTATCATTTTAGTTTTTTTTTTTTTAATGTATTACGTAGCTTTATTAAATAATGTATTTAATAATAAGAGCAGTTTTAACTTACAAGAGACTATAACATAGATTTTTTCAACTTTTATTAAAAGGTTAATTTTAACACTCCTATAACCTTTTTACCGGTATTTGATTAATTCATGCTTTTTTGTATCATAAGATAAACTTCCATGTAGAAAATATTTAAGTTATATAAAAAATAAACCCACCAATAATGTTAGATCTGTTGTACATTTTAATTCTGCACAAATAAATCTCCTTGTGAAGAGGAAAGTACCTGGTAAGCTGATAGAAATAGATGTCATGTTAGAAATAGATGTCATGTTAGAAATAGATGTCATGTTAGAAATAGATGTCATGTTAGAAATAGATGTCATGTTAGAAATAGATGTCATGTTAGAAATAGATGTCATGTTTTTCAGGGTTCCTCCAACATCGCTTCAACCAAACACAAGGTATGAGAAGGTCATTGAGGCTTTTGGAGGGAAAGGTTACTTTGCTCGTACTAAAGAGGAACTACAGAAAAGTATGGAATCAGCTGTAAATGACACAAAATATCCCTCTATAATTAATGTGATGATAGATCCAATGGCTCAAAGAAAAACGCAGGTAAGAAATGAAGAAAGGTATTCTAATTTTCTGTTTTTGAACAGTCAAATTTTATTTTAGTATTATTTTTAGAGAGATTTGATTTTGAATTAATAGATTTACAGTAGCTGGATTTCCATCTTTAAGGAGGCATCAGAGAGAGTTAAATTGGCTTGCTGCAAGGTTTATGTTGGGGGCATTAAGTTTAAGGGTATTAGAGCAATTAACCAACAGATGGCATATTAATAAAACAACCTATCTTACTACACTTACTGAATGATACAGATAATATTTTCAACTTTAAAATATAGTATCTGAATTTCGACCACACTTTTATACATATGTATCTGAAAAAGTGATATTTAGATGCACATTAACTGTAAAGCTATGTATACACAGCCGACTTGTTGAAGTCACAAATCTTGATAGTAAATCCAAGTTGAGAATCCACTGAAAAAGATATCCTACGTAGGTGTTCACACTGGGCAGGAGAAACTATTGCATCTGATGCAAAAATTTTGTTTAAATTTATCAATTTTAAATTTTTGTGCTAGCACAATGAGCAGCAACCTGCATCTGCTTGTGGCTATTTAAATCTATAGATTCAGCCTTTTTTGTTAAATATGAGTTTACTATTAACTAGCCAAGCAGGGGAAATTAATACATATATGTTTTAAAAAATCTTTATTTAATTCCATTTTTAGAAACAAGACATAGTTCCTCTAATCTTTTCTTGTCCACACCAGTAAATTCAAACTTGAAATTTATTTTAGAAATTTTAATTTTCGAACTAAAAATATGCCCATTGTTAGAACTAATATGGAATAAAACTAATATTTAAATTTGTAAACAAGCCCTGTCAGCTAAAAATGCATGCACAATGATAAATATATGATGGGATTGTGTTGTATATTGCCAGCCGACAATGTACTGAAACTCTCAACAAACTCATGAAAATGAAACTTGTTGGCCCCGTTTTTGTTAAGGCAAGTAGCACGGGGGTCACAGAAAGCTAAGAATCCCAGTAACAAATCTGCAGTGTGAACATACCTTTACAAAACTTTAAGTTATAATATTTCACTTATATTTTGCTAAATTCACTGTGCACTTTTCCATACAGTGACTCTGAACCCTTATCTATCATTGTATTGCTTTGCCTTACTGTAAAACATCATATAGGCCTACCTTTTAATAAATTACATGACTTCAACACATACCCTTTTAAGAACTTTTGAAAGAAAATTATTTTTCAATCTTATTTTCTTTCAGGAATTTTTCTGGTTAACAAAATCCAAGATGTGATGGTAAATAATTATTCAATCCAATGTCTGCAAAGACATAAACAGGAATGTGAAGCACTTGCTATATTCAAAATGTATGTATTTGCCCATACCATAAATAAAAATAAACAGAACAAAATGAATTGATAGAAATTAGTAAGAAAAGTGACTTTACAAATTGTGCTGGAACATTCTTCAATTTCATTATTTTGAAATACTCTTATAAAAATCTACCTATGATTAATTAAATAAGTAAAATTATTGGAATGTTGCCAATAACTTCTCTAGTTGTGTTAAAGAAGAAGGCAGGAAATATAATTATAAAAATCCTGTGAGTGATACTTTATAATTGTACCAATATAATCATACTGGCAGTTCTCCATGGTCAAAGTCCATTAATACTTGATCTTGATGCACTTTTATGTTTTTATTCGTTTTTTGTCAACACAGCTTTGTATGCACTATTTGCGTCTATGATGCGGTCCCATTTTTACAAATGAAGACATTGCATTAAATATGGATTATGAAAGTAAAAACCTGTAACATTGAAAACGATGCAAAAATAAGGTAGAATAGTAAATTTCATTAAAAAATAGGAATATATTTTTAAAAATATATTAATGAAATCTTCAAACTGTGATGTTTCTTATAGTAATAGTTATTGCTCACAAATGGAGAACTGCCTATTTATTCATGAAGAAACAGAGTTAACGCCTTTTTTTCTACACTTGGATTTTAAAGTTTTTTTTTATTTTTAAAATGCCTTTAAATTTTAACATAGCAAACTATAACTATCGATAAAGAATCAAATTTGAGATAGGTTATGTTTAACTGGAACACTTCTGTTCTGTAGAGGATCCATTGAAGGTATCAAAATTGAGAAAAACAATTTTTATCCTTTTTAAATTTTGGAGAACTATCACTATCAACTATAAGAATATGGTTTGGTAAGTGTCCTATTCCCAATTCTGCATTTAGTAGTAGAGGTTTCCTTTTTAAAACCATGTCATGCATAGATTGATTTATGCTTAAGTTATTAACAGTGCAGTGGGATTTTGGTTGAAATATCATGTTTCACCCATGTTCAAATTCTAGCAGAAGCATTTACTTTCTTTACCAAGAATCATTTCAATAATTTTTTTAGCATTCCAGTTTTCATATAGCATTTAAACCTCAAAATATATGCATTTTGCAAGGCAAATAATGTTATAATTTATACATTATTAGCAAAATATTATATTTTATTTCAATTTTTTTGTAAAAATATGGTTGTTATTTCAAGGTTCCTAAAATAAAATTAATGTAAACTAACTAATGCTTGATCTTTGTTATCACTTTCCTGTTTGTGTTTATTGGGCAGGCTAGCAGTAGGTGAGGCGTTAAAGCATATTTTTTTTAACTTATTGGGTTATTTAAAAATTACTCTTAAACCCCTTAATTTACATCAATTTTTGGGATATGGGATTCAGATAGTAATGAGGGAGAGCTATTTCAAATGTTTCAAAGAAATATTAACTATTGAAATAATTTGAAACATGTGTTTATTCAAATTCTGCATTAATTTGCAATTTGGTTGTAGCAAATAACTGACACAAGTCTATATTTTAAAAAAGAAAGTAAGAACTTTAAAAAGTACATTTTTAAATCATAATTTTGTCAATTGTTATTACTTGATCGTTAGCCTTGCAATGATTAGCTAATTGATTGGATTAGCAATTAATCATTAAGTTAGTACCACATAAATAATGGTAACTACCCGTGGAAACGGTTTCTTTAAGAACTGATAATCTTTAAACAAATTAATAAATGCAGAAAAGTCTATGAGTATACAAAATTTTGTTCTAACTTTATTTATGGCTTTTTATCAGGTTTTTGCATTTACAATGAATTCAAAATTACAGATCCTAACAATTTGAATCATGTACTAGCTATTTATAATTTTATAATTTATATGTATCCAGTTAAGATCTAAAGGCACACAAAAATTAACAGAAATTCATTTACTAAATACATACTTTCTCAAAAAATATTCATCATCCCTCAACTGTCTACATAAACAAAATACAATGTATCAAAAAGTCCAACGGTGTCACAGTTAATGACCTTTGTAGCATATTTTAGGTATTTTACAAAACATAGATTTTTAAGATTGTTTATCATTGTACTCTGTTATTTCCAGCTGTTTTTTCGTATCTTTAGCCAATGTCTTGTACATTGTCAGTGCCTAAAAGTGAAAACAAAGTTTTTAAAAGTGAAAGTTACTGAGGTAAGGAGAAGTGCACCTTGAAATAATTAACGTACATTTTAGAAAATAATTTTTTTTTTTTTTTTTGGTTATCAAAGACAAATTAAATGTACAAAGTTAAGTTCATTAAAGGATGTTTTAAAAAAAGATCGAATATATCAAAATGCCTTGTGATGCGATAAACTATCAAATTAGAACATACTAACCTGGGTGACCATTGCCGGAACATCACCACTGTTTGCTGGCAATATTACAGTATTGGTCTCTTTCGCTAGATTACTGAAAGCTTTTACATACTGCTCTGCTATATTCATGGATACAGCATTCAACCCATTCTAAAACAAATACAAAATATAATTTTAAACAATTATCATTGTAGACTGAATTCACAATACACAACATTTAAATGTATTACAAGGGTTTTAAAATTCAGTGAATACTCTGCTGAAAATATTTTCATTTGGGTATTTCAAAATAATTTTTACAAGATTTTAAATGAAACAGATAATTAAAATACCTCTTTTCCTAAAGCTTGAGAAATAATCTCTATAGATGTAGCTCTAGCTTGAGCCTTGGCTAACATTGCTTCTGCTTCACCTGACAGGAAAATGTTTTATTTTTGATAAAGTAATGACAAAAATGTTGTCCCAAGATTATTGGTTTAAAGATATAAGAAATTTGAGAGAAATAAAAATATATCTGTTATTCTTATTTTTCACAAATCTCAATATCAACTATGAATTATTGAGCTCTGTATTAATACTTATCGAGTAAACTTTACAAATATCTGAAACTAATTTGAGGTAAGAGAGGCAACACACAAAGATTTATTGCAAAACTGACAGGAGTATTTAAGTTAAGAGAGTTAGTATTTATTCAACTGACCTTGAGCCTGATTAATTTGCTCAGCTCTGTGAGCTTCAGAATTTAAAATTCTAGACCTCTTCTTGCCTTCTGCTACATTGATATCTGCTTCCCTGATACCTAAACATAATATATAGTGCCAATGTTAAAATAGTTACATGAGAAACCGAACAACTCTGCTATGGGCCATCAAAAATGCTTTTATCTCTTTAAAAAATCCATCCGCAACCAAAGGTCAGAAAAGAAATCTTAATGACTTGAATTTTAGGGGTCTGGTTAAACTAGCAAAAAAATTTTAAAAAGCTAACTCCAAAAAGTCAGAATATACCTTCAGATTCTAGAATAGCTGCTCGTTTCTTTCTTTCTGCCTCTACTTGAGTCTGCATAGCCTCTTGTACTTTAGCTGGCAATTTCATGTCCCCTGAATATTAAGAAATGAGAAGAAAAAAAACAAAATTCTTATGGTATTTTACAAACAATTATCACCTTACTTCTCTATTGTCATAGATGATATAAAATGTGACATCAGTCTTTTAAGATTAATATGGATAAGCTAATGTATAGGCATACATTTCTATACGAATAAACATTCCTCTTCTATCTTAAACAAATAATGCAAATGAAAAATGGATACTTACGAATCTCATATCTCATGCATTTGATTCCCCAGGCATTGGAAGCATGATTTATTGCATCTTAAATATTTAAAACAAAAAATGATTTGGTTTATATCAGAAAATTAAAGGTCAAAATTATACATTGAAAAAAATCTGTTAAATATTGAATATTTTGTGCAACACAAATTAAATACTGCATATTGAATCTCTGACTTTGATGTGTAATATTAAATTATTAAGTGTCACATCAAGGTAAGAGATCATATATAATTAATTAAATTTAACCCATGAACTATCATGAATGGCAGTTATGGCTGCTTCAGTGGATGTTAAGCCCCATATAATCACCCTCTACCAAAATTAATATTATCAATATTTCATGAATTAATTTTTCAAAATGAATTTTGAATTGAAAAAAAAAAAATTCTGTTTAAAAAAAAAATTAAAACTAACTTGTAGAGCTTATATGTTGGCCTTGCAAAACAAAAGCCTAATCTATTTGAATTATTTCCTTATTTAAAAATAATTTTGTGCCACTATGGTACCTATTCATTTACCAAGTCCTTACATGTAAGAAAGAAAAATTAGATTAGCAAACTCTAATAACAATACTGTACATTAAGTATATTCTTTTGCAATATACTTTTTCACATAAAAATATATGAATGTGATTTTGAAGATAGTTATGTTGGCCCACTCATGATTATGGTAGTGACTTACGATAGTGGAGCTAGTAGCACTAATATCAATTTTTATAGGGCATTCTCTAATCCATTTAGAACATATTTGAATGTAAACAACCTTTTTCTACATCAAGGGAGGGATGTGTATTGGTAGATCACTACACATTAAATTGGTGATGTCAATATCAAAACAAAAGGGGGTGGGTGATAGTTGGGTAAGCATAACATAAACAGTAACACAATTGTACTCACTGTTGAAAGAACAAGGTCGTAACGATTCCTTGTCTAATATGCTCTCAAAATATCTATACTTATTATATGCGTCACTGGATACATGTTCTATTACTTTGGGGTATTTTATTGATACATATAAAAATTACTATAAAAAAAGAGCTGACACTACAGCACATTTGCATATGAACGTTCATGGGTTAAGAAAAGCTAGAGCCAATATCATAAAATTTATTTTTAAACAATGTATTACCTATTGGTGACTGACATTATCACTACCACATATAACATTAGCAAGTTCTCAAAAAATTATAATTTTTTATATTGTGCAACATAATTTAACTGCACCAACCAGCACTCACCTACAATAGCAATATTGAGGGATTCTCTTTCTCTGAAAACTTTATCTAATGAAATTTTTCCTATTTCTGACCTCATTGTTGTTTGAGCAAGTTGTGTAATAGCATATTCTGGATCTTCAACACCATAAGAGGCCTATCATCAAAATTAAATACAGAAAAATCAAATTAAAAAAAAAATATATTGCAAAAATGAAAAAGGATTATGGAATAATATATAGTTCATTCAAAATTAAAACAATAAAACACAAGACGGGTTAGATTCTAAACAAGATGAAACTCGTTTCTCCTCATTACTCTCTATATGTACTGTAGGTTAAAAAAACTTAAAGAACACCTGAGAGTAACATGACTTTATAAAATTTCTTACAAGACGTTTGGGTAACAATTTCATATACCCTAAATAAAAAAAAATTTAAGAAGGTCAATACTCACTTTGTAAGCATCAACAACTTTTAAATATAATACAGCATCCATTGTTAAGGTAACATTGTCTGAAAAAGATATTTTTAAAAAAAAGTGAAATCTTCAATGAAGAGCTTTAATTAAATGTCAAGCTTTTTGAACTGTAATAATCTGGGTAACAGAGTGAAACTTTGGCACCTGTGACACTAACCTTATTACTGATGACCTAAGCCTGATGTCAAAATTTTACTTAAAAAATAACATAAGACTAAAACACAAAGTAATTAATTTATAAACATTTTGATACAAATCAGAAGGAAACAGTTAAGTCTCAGGACAATTAAAATTGTTTGTGAGAGTTTTAAAGCCTAATTGAAAAAATATTACATCGCTTCATTTAAATAACAATCTTACCTAAAGTAATTGCAGCCTGATGAGGCACATCTATTGCAATTTCTTTTAAACTCTGTACATATTTAATGGTATCAACAATCGGCAAAATCACGTTAAGACCCTGAAATGTACCATTTCTTAAATAAACAATATATCAAAGAATGCAACTAAAAAACTGTAAATTCAATTTGATATGCATGTTATATTGTTATAATTTATCATTTTGAGTAGATAGAATTCATATTTGTAGCAATGATTTTCTGGAATTACAAGAGCTCATTAACTCTAAACTTAACTCTCAATTATTTTTAACCCTATAACTATCAAGAACAAATTTCTTTAGCATCAAGCAATTTTTAGCAATTTCATATGCTTGTAAAATTGACAAAAATCGCAGACTAAATGAATTCAGAGACCCTTACAAGCTACCTTTTCTGAAAGTACATTGGACAAGGTATCTTATGGTATGAAAATAATTTTTTTTTAATGTATGTTGACATTGATCTTGACCTTTACAGGGTGAGTAAAATTTTACTACTCAACTTCTGAATTCAAACCACCCTAAATAAATGCACCATAAATTGTTTAAACTATCATAAAATCAACTTTTATATACTAGAAGCAATATTATTTTAGAAAATGTAAAGTTATAGGTACTTTTATTGAAAATTGTGATATTGGTTAGTTTTTTCATTCACTACCTTTAAATTTATGTCATATAAAATACAAGGAGGAAAGCCAAAAATGAGTTCAAAAATTCCTTTTCATTTGAAGTTATTAAATCCATTTGTTTAAATTAATTAACCCTCCTGATAAACATATACAAACACACCCCTGATGAACATATATAATATAAACATAAATATCTTTGGGCTAGACCTTTGATCTTAAGTCTGTGTCTTTTTCTGTTCGATTTTCACCCTTTCCCAAACGAATTAGTCTGTAACAATACAAACTTGTCCCAATGCAGAACTTGTCCCTTTACACTCCAAACTGAAAGCATTGGCCTCCCTAAAGGTACCTTTACCATTAAAGAGGGTTTCACCTGTGTCAGCAGAAATGTAATATATGCGATTGTTTGCCGTAGATGCCAATCAAGTTACATAGGGGAAACTGGGAGAAGATTGGCTGATAGGTTTACTGAACATCTAAGGGATATTGAGCAATGTAAACCTTCCCCGGTCTCTTCTCATTTCAACCAAAAAGAACATAAAGGTGCTTTGGATGTAACCATTACGGCATTGATTTCATGCAGTAACACACCAGATAGGGTTAAAATGGAAAATAAATTTATTCAGCTGTTTGGCACCATATCTCCATATGGTATTAATCAAATAATATCCTACTGATGTTTCTCCGTTTCCCTATATTTCATCTATTTTCTTATTGCTGTTTGTTGATGTATCCCTGGATATTCTGGTCCATTATTATTGTGGACTTTATTTTTCACAGTGTCAATATTTATATTCTCTCGCTTCCTGTTTTCCCACTTCCGGAGAGACGAATGAATACTGCTTGAGTTTTCTACTGTGTTCTTTTCTTTGTTATATTTTCATTTCTATTGTTGGCTGAGGAAGGCTTTATGCCGAAACGTCCTTGTTTTTTGTCCTGTTACCTTATTTCAAGCTTCCACATACCTCGTTTCACTATTTCATTCATTTGTAACAATACAACTAGGCTTAGGGATAAAATTGTCAATATCTCTCTCTTATTTCTGGTTCTTGTAGTGTTTGTTACTCCATCCATATACTGGCATCTGTGCAACGGTTGGGGGAATGGTGTTGCTAGCAGATGCCAAGTCAGTCTTGAAGCTTTCGACTGATGTCGAGTTCACAGCAGCATTGTCCAGGTGGTTCCAAGCTATTTTTGTGCGTGGGAAGAAAGATTGTTTATACTGCACTGTATTGCACCGAGGCACAGTGAAGCATTTGCTATTATTTGGGGTGTAATTGTTTGTGGGGTTGTCAGTAGTGAAGTCAGTGTTCAGTGAGCGTTTAGCTCTGATCAATCGACCCGGCGTCTGTTGGGTGAGGTATGTGCCTGCTGGGATGGCCGGGACCAGTCCCATGACCACTTTATATAAGAATTTCAGGCAGAGTTCCTCTCGTCTGTCTTTAAGACTTTAAGTGAGGGGATGTCAAATCTTTTTAAGAGGCCAGTGACGAAGCCAGAAGTGCTGGATTTGTAGTCTCATGCGTTCAGCATTGCGTTGAATTCACTCCATCTTGTCCACGTCTTGCTTAAGATGTGGGTCCCAGATGATCCCACCATATTCTAGTAGTGGACGGACGAGTGCGAGATAGGCATTTTGTTTGCAGGAAGTTGGGCAGTGGCGCAGATTTCTTCAAATGAAACCTAGGGTGGAGTTGTCTTTTCTTGAAACTTTGTTTATATGGGGTGACCATTTTAGGTTATTTGAGAAGAGAATTCCAAGGTATGGATTATTTGATACTTGTTGGAGAATTGTCTCGTTTAGTGAGTACATATAAGTAGATGGGTTTTTCCTTGAGATGCTCATTGTGTAGCATTTGGTTTCATTAAATTTCATGCCCCATTTGTCCGCCCAATTCATAAGGCACTTCAAATCTGTTTGGAGGTGGTTATGGTCATTGTAGCCGTTTATCTCTCTGTAGACAAGACAGTCATCTGCAAACAGCCTAACTTGAGTTTTAGAATATTGGGGACGTCGTTTATGTGATAGAGGAAGAGAAGGGGGCCCAGAACTGTGCCTTGTGCACTTTCCCTGATCGGACGCCGTCTACCACTACTTGCATGGTACGTTGTGTTAGGAATGTTGAGAGCCAGGAGTGAAGGTTGCCGGCAATACCGTAGTGGTGGAGCTTATGTAGAAGAAGGCTAAGTGGAACAGTGTCGAAGGCCTTGGAGAAGTCGAGAATTGCCATGTCGACCTGGGTACCTTTGTCATAGGAGATAAGGAGGTCATTGGTGGTGATGATTAAATGAGTTTCTGTTGAGAATCCAGAGTGGAAACCGCGATTTAGGTTGGTCAAAATGTTGTAGTGTTCAGGGTGGTTCATGATGTGGCGATAGTTGATGTGTTCTAGCATTTTGCATGGAATGGAGGTTAGGGATATTGGGCGGTAGTTTGCTGGGTTATGATGGTCACCTTTCTTGTAGGCACTAGTGATATTTGCATCAAAGCAGTCTAGCAGGAGTTTGCTGGAGTCAAGCGACTTTTGAAAAATGTGGGTCATGGTTGGGGAATGTTGTCAGCCAGTGTCTTCAGGACAATGTTCGGTATACAGTCAGACATCACAGCTTATCATTACTAGCACACGGAATACCTCTGATATCTTTGCTTTCATTCTAATATATTTTAAATAATTCCAATAAAGAAATTCTGTGTTAATTTTGAAATCCAAAAGGGGGCCCTCTCCCGCATCAGATATTATGGCGGTGAAAAAAGTTGAGAAAATTTCACACCCAATTAATCACACAAAAAATCCCTGATAGTAACGGAAATAGGAAGCAAAGTCATTTATATAGAGTGATTTCCCCTTAAACAATATACATTAAATCAATTTCGCTTTTTAATGATGATTTTGCTCTTAATTTGATAACTTGTTATAAGCCACATTATATTAACAAAGTGGCTATTCATACACGGGTCTGAGAAGTGAGAGGTTGGGATTAAAATTTAAAAAAAAAATATTATTGTTAGGTTGTAAGACAAAATTTGGTATCAAATGAAAGATAGTAGAATGGACTATATGTTTGTAAACTTACTTCTTCAGTTTAACTAAAATAAACTACCATAAATGACATCCGAATAGCATTGAGTCTAAAGGGACCCAGGTCCAAACAGCGGCGCTGCATGTCCGGGTCCATTTTGTCTTACAAACCCTACAATAATTTTAAAATATTTTTTTATTTACCCATCACTCACGTCTTGGACCCGGGTCCGAATAGCCGCAGCCTTTTATTAATAGGAATTTACAAGTATAATGATACTTTTGGAATTTTAACTTAAAGAAACTGTGTACCATTTAATAAACTTATAAATTCGTATTACTGTACCGGTTCTAATATTTGACTGAACTTTCCAAATCTCTCAACAACCCAAGCTTCTTGTTGGGGTACAAACAGTATCACTGTGTTTACTGGAAGCCGTGATCTGTGTCGAATACTCTGTTCAGCATATTTTAATGTGCTCTGAAATATTTTTAAAAAAATAACAACATTCGTTTTTATTTTAAAAAATAATTAATTCTTCAACTAAAAGAAAAAAACAAATTCGTTGGCTAATGTATTTTAGCATTGTAAAGTTAGACTAACCAATGATAAAATTTAAAGGGTTTTTTAATTAATAAATAAAGTTATTTTTTTCCCTTTTAGCAATGACTAAAAAACGGTATCAGTACACAAAGTCAATAGGATTAACAAAATGCAATTGATGTCTGATAAATTTTAAGTAGTATTAATGCGTTTTTGACCTCTACCCGTCAAAATTCAGTGGAGATTTCGCTGGATTCAATTTAAGTGACATTAAAGTGCACGAATTGACTGTAAATAGGAACTAGATATTAATATTATTAGTAATATTAGTGAAATCAGCGTAGTAAGCAATGTTGAATTTTACAAACTTCGATTTTGTGGCAGTGTTTGTCAATAGTGAATAGGTGACTCACAATCACAAACAATGTTGTTTTTTGCAAATATTTGTGTTCATATGAGGATTAATGGCAACATGTGAGTACAATAATAAATCTGCATTCATTTTCCTTTATTTTGCTTTTTATTTCACACAAATTTGTTTTTTGAAACGCAACCCTAAATCTTTCTAAAAAACGGAAAAATGGTGCCCGTTCAGGACATGCAAGAGGAAGTACCTCTGCCCTGTAAAGGGTTAATTAGTCATGTACCAAAGTTGAAAGTTCAATAGTTCCTAAACAGTATTTTAGTAATTAGGGCATGAGTTCCCTTATATAGACCATGTATCAGTATCGTGGACGTCGTAGATTTGGTAAACAGAAAAGCCATGTGTTAATACATTATATTAAATTTAATGATATAAATAGCGCATAGTTAGATAAGCTACAATTTATCTAATTGTTAACATTATTAAAATTATTTTTTAATACAGCATTAGTTCTGAAAATAAAATTATCATTGAAACAAGAGTTATATAGCTCGTGACGCAAACAGCGGAATTGTGTCCCAGAAAATGGAGATGCGTCAATGTTAAAAAAGGACAAATTAAGTCGTACTTTAAAAATTCATAACTTTAAAACTAAAATAGCTAAAAATATGATTTTGGTGATATAATTCTTTAAAAAATTAGCTCTGTTTAACTATGCCATAGGTCTATTTTTACAAAAAGTTTTAATTTTGTTACCAAAGTACCTAGTTAATGGCAACCATTCACAGTCACTTAAGTATGATGAATACATTTCCGCCTCCATCAATACTATTGTGACACTATGTATGACTGACGATTATTGTTGTGTGTATTGAGTGAACTTTGTGATCTGATACTGATAATCATCATAATCATAGTATTATTCTAAAAGTTTCTGTAAATTTATTTTATCCAATTTCACGAATCCGAATGTATCCCTAAATCGATCCCTATGCCTAACCTGAACCCTAAATCGATCCCTATGCCTAACCTAAACCATAAATCGATCCCTATACCTAACCTCTAAATCGATCCCTCAACCTAACTTAAACCCTAATTCACTGCAACTATAATAAACACCCAAAAGACGCCGAGGCATTCCTCCTTTCAATTAGCCAAAGTTTCATTCATATTAATTGCCATGGCCATGTGCAAAAATAAAATTGTATTGTTAACTATTGTATCTATAATTTGTTTTAATTGTTACTTAATTTATTATGATTGTATTATTACTACACAGTCACCTTGAATTAACGCTCAGCTTTATTCAATTCCCAACCGATAAAAGCGGCTTACTACACCCCCCACCCCCCCTCACTCGCTACTACTACTAGACTACACCGACTACCGGACCGCTAGCAAATAATAATACCAGCCGACAGGGAATAACACTTTTGTAATTATAAGGTCCTCATACCTGTAATATATTGACAGCACGTCGACTTGTCACAGATCGTAACATTGTGAAAAATATAATAGTTAATTATTTTTTTTTGTATATGAACACCTTATCCCTAATACTAATGAAATATGTTAACAAATTGCATAATGGAACCGAAGGACTAGTAACGGCAATGTCGGGCCAGTTTGATATTAAAAGTAAAAAATTTAAACATTGCAATCGATACCCTAGATTTAAATTACTGTTATTTCTTTCGATACTTATACTCGAAAATAATTTCAGAGAATCGTCCACTTTAACTTATTGTATTGTGTTGAATTGTATATTTTAGCAGTTATAAATTTATATAAAAAACTATGAAAACGAAACAAATATTTTATAATAGAAATCAACTTAAAATGTATAATATTTTTTAAAAAGTACATTCATTTTTACTTATCATCAATTACTAATTCTAAATAAAGATTATATAACATTTAGGTCTGTTAAATTTAAATATAATCTATAGCCAAATATGGTACTTACTATTTAAAATATGCCTAATCATTTCGTAAAAAAATAAAAACTTTAATCACTTAAAGTTTAAAGGTTAAAATAAAAAATGGAGGGTTCATATTAATAATATTATAAGTTATAATACTCTACAAAGTAATATATAATGCAATGGAATCTATCAGGCCTTTTAAAAATGAATATAATTTTAATTCATTTTATTTGAGTCAAGTCTTGACCACCTTGGTTTAATTTCAACTAGACTTTGAGTTTGACTTAGAGATGCGGGCCTAGCCTAACTAAAATTTTTAGACTAAAACTTACTAAAATCGAATCGACCAAGGACCAATATCAATAATGTTGAATGACTGATGGCAAGGGCCGATCAATGACTGATTCAGATTCATGATAATCACATGAAATGATTAAAATAATAGTAATATCAATTATTTATCATGTAAATAATTACGAAAATATTCTATAATTTATTATATTTTATTATATTAATTATATTATAACTAAAATAATAAATTATAATAATTAATAATTATAATAATATTATTAATATGAAAATGACTAACTAAATGATAATGATTTAAATAATATGGATATTGTATTGAGAATAATAATTATGTTATTGAGATTACTAGAGCAGGGCTAAATCTGGTGCATTTTACTACTTTTTTTTTACACCAGAACCAGGTAATCTGAGTCTGAGTCTGAGAAAAATACTGTGGGTACAAGTCCAAGTGTTACAAAAGAAAGAGTTAACTTCTCATTTTGAGTTCTCATTTTCTACAATTAATAATATGCAAAAAAATCTACTACTCTATGTCATAGTGAGAGTGCATTGCCAGCCTTTATCACCAACTGTTATGATATACTATCAAAAAATAACCCTTTGAGTTTGAGACTGATGGGATCAGTCAGTTGCCGGATGCCGGAATTTTAATAGAGATGGCATGCAACAACCCTTCGACAGAGAAAATACTGTCATTCCTTTATGTGAATATGAAAAAACAGTGACATTTAAAAAAAAAAAAAATCCTTTCTAAAGAAATATTCAGCATATAAAACATATTTACCTGAGTTCAGACGTTACGCATGAAGCTCGCTGTGTGACAGAGGAACACGAACAATAACAGCACCAAATATAGTTGCCTCTCCCTTAAAAAAAAAAATGAAGCTATTTACCTGGGTTCAGAAATCATGTATGACAGCCTTTTTTTTCTCTTTGTACTATTAATATAACATATGGAGAAAAAAAAAAGGGGGGGGGGTGTTTGAAGAGGATGCAAGTCAAACCAGAAGCAAAATATATACCCGTACCGGGTATAAGAAATTACTGGTATCTTCCTCTTTAATGATTTTTACCACTTAACCTGAATCTAGACCTAGGCCTTTATAATTAATAAATTAATAATAAAATAGGCCAACTCACTTCACAATAGCCACAAAATGTTGTGAGTGTGTCACAGTAACGGCTTATAAACATTCAAGATTAGAGGAGTGAGCTCAACATTCTCAAAATATTCAAAATGTAAAAGTTTAAGCCTAGGCATTGGGGTGCATCTGTCCATGATAATAAATAATATGGGGTAATAATGAGAATGCTACAAAATGACAAGGAATTTCATAAAAATTGATCCAAAAGTTAAAAGTGAAATACACTCTTTATATTCATATTCATATAAAAATTGGCAGACGAAGTAAGCAAATCAAATGAAGGAGAACAATTTGCAGGAGGGACAAAAAAAACAATAAAATATAAATTGTAGATTGTAGGATACCTTTAAAAAAAATGCTGGTACTGGTAGAGATGTTTAATGATGTGGTGCATGCATATTGATTACTTTTATAGCGCTTGTATCCATGCTATTTTATTATCATGGGTGCCCTTCTCCTTTAATTAAAGCTTAACATTATTGGTACCCGGTACCTATTTATAATGCATCACTTTTTTTTCTAGAAATATTTAAACTTAACTGAGAATTTTTTATTTAAAATGAAGTACTGGTATATGAATTTATATTTATTCTTAATGTTCTTGTTTACTTTTTTTTTTTTTTAATTAAGACTTAGAACTAGAAGAACATTGCAAGAATGAACACAAAAAGAAATGAAAATTATGATTCTAAAGACAAATGCAAACCTGAGACTCCAGTCATTGCGGTAATATTAATAGCCAAAATACTCCTAGTCTGAAAATTTTTCTCTACTTATTTATGTTGTCTGTAACAATAGAAACAGTTACTTTTGTATTGTAAATAAAGAGTTTAAAAAATGTAGAATTGTATTAATTGAATGTCACCATTTTGAAAAGTCAACTCTATGAAAATTAAGAATTCTTTACAAAAGATTGAGCTAATGTTAACCAATCTACTTTGAACATTGTATTTTTTATTTATATATTATATATATATTTTTTTACATAGATGAGTTCTGCTTTAAAGGATAGACTGAAAAAATGTGGTCGTTATCACTCTAGTTCTCCAACAATTAAAAAAATAATTCAAGAAAATGACCCCCTACATACAGATAAAGCAAGAAATACTCCTTGTGATACCAAAAGGAAATGTGTGAATCCTATAGGAGGCAGTGAAGATGATTTTATAAAAAGGAAAAAGTTTACATTTGGAGACGCCTCCCAGAAAGACACTAAATTGTCCAACATTAAAATAGAACCTCTTATAGATTTGAAAGTAGATCAGGAAATTGCAACATTAAAAGGTGAAATAATTTTTTATTTATAATAAACTTATATATGTAAATACGTGTTTGTTAAAAATAGCTCATAAAATGTGACTTGGGGAGATTGTTAATCAAACTGCAGATTGTGCATATTATTAATTATGTTTTATTTATAAAATAATTATATGTTATATATAACTTATATATAGAAACAGAATGGTTAAATTAATAACATTTGTTTTGAAAACTTCACAGAAAACTGTTCTACAACTGTTTGTCAAGCATCTGTTAAAGTGGATGTTGACTGTCAATCACATTTAGAAGCTGAAAAAAGGAGATTAGAATTGGAACTCTCTCAGAAAAATGAACAGTTAAGAAAGCTGAAAATGGTCAAAATGTACAGGGAAAAGGTTTGAAATTTTGAATTATCTGATAAAATGTCCAAATTCTTCCCATTGAATGGCTTATGTGATTATAAAACATATTTATTTTCCTTGTTTTTGTAGCAGTGATGTCCTGAGGTTCCCAATGTTTTCATACAGTTTCTTTTGTTTTCGTTCAGTTGATGGAAACATTTTTTGTACCTGAAATTGTTGCAAATGTTAGCAGACTTACAACATCTTTCACTTGTCAACTTGTAATACTGAATTGACTGAATAAATACAATATTTTAAATGACTCTGATACATATATTCTGTTTATACACATACGCAATTTTAATTTTTTAAGACTTCCCCTGTTTGATGTTTCCTACTTTCAAGTAATGATTCAATAAATACCAGTGCTTGGTATATTGATTGAACAAATGATTGGTTAAAAACAGATGCAATTTTACTGTTTGAAAAAGTTGTAAAGATCAGTCGCAGAAGAAACAATGAATCCAGAAATACGTGGATTGAAAAATAAAATTTTAATTGCAAGTTCTAATAAATTGGGGCGATTCTCTAGGACCGGCCTGCACAACATACAGCCCATGGGCCGCATGCAGCCCGCCAGGACCCACTTTGCAGCCCGCGAAGCAATGAAATATTTTTTATTATTATTATTATCTTAAAAGCTTTCCCCCCCCTGGTCCTATTTTCTTTCGGCCCGCACAAGTTTTTCTTAAAGTATTACGGCCCACCTTACATTTTGAGTTGTGCAGGCCTGCTCTAGGAACTTAAAATAAGCTAGCTAACTGATGAAATTATTATTATAATTACTTTTTTTAGAAGTTTATTATTTTTCTTCAGAATAATCTTACTGAGCTTCAAGTTTTGATAGATACATGGAGAGATGTGTCTCAAAGAGCTTTAACAGATTTGCTGGAACGTCATCCAGAACCAAAACCCACAATGTCTCAACTTATTGCTCAAATGCAGATTGATACAGGGCTAATTGCATATAATACTGAGGAAGAAGGATTCACTTGAAAGTTAAACATTTATTGGCATATTCATTGAGGTTTCTCGCAAGATTTAATTATATCTTGCTAATGAAAACATTTTGCAAGAATGGCTCTTATTGTGTTCCAAATGGCCATTTTACATTAAAATATGATATTAGGAATACTTGTAATTTGATGAATGTAATAAACAGTGAATACAGATAGCAGTACCGGTAACAGCAAATGACTCACATCTCAGTCAGAACACATAGCAAATATGTTGTGTCTTTACAAGTTAAAATAAACTTTTAAAATATGAGTAGTGTTTTAATTAATCTCAAATAATGTTAAGACCTGTTAATCTCCATAATTTCCTAATTTTATATGTAATCATTTTCAAACAGACGTTTCTTTAAGCTAATAATTACTAGTTTTATTGAAATAATTTTACAGCTTATTTTAACTGTACAAGTTAATAGTTAATGTCTTTATTTTCCCTTTTTTACGTGTGGAAAACTTATATTAGACTGAAACTGAGGTTTATTTTCATAAATTTTACAAAATGCTTTGTTGTCTATTGTGAAGCATATGACGTATGATTATTTTTATGACTCATTATTATGTTTGTTATGGAAATTACTTTTAGATATAAAGTTCTTTCATTTGAATTGCTATTGAAATTTTTTATTTAATTATATTATAAATTTGAATTTATTGCTCTTTAAAATATTAATAAAACTAAAACAATTATTTTAACGTTTCCGTTCAGTGTTTGTCTTTTAAATTTAGAAAAAAAATTAGCATCCAATCAGCTGTTGTAACAAAATTATTTTAAAATCAACACAAAAGTAAGCAATCAAACCCGTCATCGAATAAAAAGTAAATTGTCTATCAGTGTCAGTGAACGGATTATCAAAATCATATTGATTGATTCTTTGATATACCGGTACCGTAACTTACAATCATTTTTCAATATTTCAATGAATAGCAAATAATGCAATATTAACTATAATTAAAACAACAAACCTTATTCTCAGTAACGACTTACTGATCACGAGGGTAGTAATTAAAGACAAAGATCTTTTTATTAAATTTGATTATGGTGACAACAAAACGGAAATATTGGACCAATAATAAATGGATACTATTTACACTGATGGAAAGAACGAAACGCTTATTCTTCTATATCCGGATAAACATGGCGGACCCGAAATATGTTAATCTACCTGGAATCGTATGTGTTAAATTAAGGATAAATCTTTAATTTGTTTTGATACTTTTGATAACAATTTACGGACCTAATTTTCTTGTTTGTCTTATTTACATTTTAAATAAATATTTGCCTAATTAGGCCTGATCGAATAGCCTAACTAAGAAAAGATGATGATTTCTTCCATCAATTTGAATCAATATTTAATGGAAAATTAATCTAATACATTCAATAAATAAATTAATATGATTGTTGATTTGAATCAATAATTGTCAATATAGTGAATGATGCAATAATAGTTGCAGAAATTGATGAATGATATATTTTTATATTTAATAGTTAATTTACTAAGTAAGTAAGTAAGTAAGTAAGTCTTCTAACCAGTAACCTCGACCTCAGATTATAATTATTTGATCACTTAAATTTAATTTTTGTAGGCCTATCTGATCTATAAGTATTAGTTAGCAAGAATAAATTGTTAGAATCAGAGTAGACAAGTGACAAGTAGTAATGACTACTCAGTAGAGATAGGGCAGGCTTGGCTTAACTATTGAAGGTAAATTTTGAGGTAACGTTATGATTATATATTATATGGGTTTTGCCAAGAGTTTTCTCACCCTAAGCGCAGTGACGTCACATTGGGGTATCCCAACACTGGACTTAGGGTGAATAGATCTATTCTTTGAAGGACCCGAATGATGTGTTTTAGCATTCCTGTTCTTTATTGAGCATTACTCGCGCCATGAATCATGAACGATACGAATGAAGTATATTGAAACGAAATTTTGCATTAATTTGTATTAAAATTCAACTTACACGTTTCTAAAGAAAGTAAAAAAGAAACACATCCTTGCTGATACCCCAAGACCCAACACCGGTGAAAAAAAAGACGCCCGCCAAAATTGCTGTATTTTGATTAGTTGAAAATACTCGTATGTTGAAACTTAGGTAACAAAAGTAAGACTACTACTTAAATTGCATTTTGAATGATCTTCTAGGAACTGGGGAGGGGAGACCTCCCCAGTATCCCTCCACAATTTAACAAAAAATTTAAAGCAATAAATAATAACTTGCATTATGTAAATTCAAACATTGAAATCTTTTAGTATGGCGCTGTAGACGGAAATGGACCTGGGGTAACCTCCATGACCTATATACCATGGAACACATCGTTGGCCTTACCGCTAACTCAAAACCAGCCACTATTGAAATTGATGCGCCTCGCCTAATGTATTTTAAAATTTTATGCGATGGGTATTAGATTAGTAAGCAGAGCGAATCCTAGTCATATTTTACTATGGCCTATATGGAGTATGGATAGAGCGTAATGCTTCTGTCCACATATTAGGAATGAATCATATATTGTAGTCTTGTAGTGCCTTAAGCAGTGATAAAAAAGAAAATTATTATTAATTATAAAAATGGCTGTGGCTATTAATGCCTTCAATAGCTTCTAGAGAGCTATTACTATCGGTACTCCACTACCAGTAGCTTCTAGGAAGCAATTGAAGTGGTAGTTTACTATAAAAAAAGACCATTTGGTGATATATTGATGTAGTGCAGTATTGTCTAAGACCACGGCATACTGCTCCAGCGTCTGCAACAAACGTTCGGCCTCACTGATACCGTCCTGTGTTGGTTCCGATCGTATCTGACTAATCGGGTCCAGTCAGTTATTTCAAACGGCTTGACCTCGAAGAAATCTAATATCGAATTCGGAGTACCCCAGGGCTCGGTCCTAGGCCCAGTGCTTTTCACGATATACATGCAGCCCCTGGGTGCAGAGATCAGGCAGTTTGACATGTTGTATCACATGTACGTGGACGATACACAACTTCATCAATCCCTGATTCCTTCTCAGTTCCCTCAGCTGCTCAGTATGACACAGAAGACAATGGGAAAACACTTCTGAGAGAGTTGCACTGGCTGCCGGTGCGTGTTCGCATAGAGTACAAAATCGCAACTTTGTGCTGACGCCTTATGTACCCACTAGAGAGCTCCGCTCATCCGATAGAGGCAAACTCTCGACACCACGTGTTTGCCTTGAGACTTACGGAAAGCGCATTCGCATTTGCTGGTCCAACAATTTGGAACGCCCTTCCTGTCGATCTCAGAAACAACCAGACACTGGAGTCCTTTAAAACCGATTTAAAGACACATCTATTTCGCAAACACCTTCTGGGATGATTGTCAACCTTATTTCCCAGTCAATGCATAATGGCTGTGTTGCTTATGGTTGAAATGGCTAGAAAGGCTTTGCCATTGTATGCTTGTATTTAGATTTTGTAGGGTTGCGTTTGTTTTAAATGTGGTAAATTATAGATTTGTTTTTTGTTGACTTTGTACCGCGCTTCGAGCCTTTGGGGATGAAGCGTGTTTTTGAAATGACCTTTAGTATTATTATTATTATTGGTAATCACTATTTTTTTAATGACATCACTGAAATCACTCTTAAGTATGTACATTGACAAAAACACGTTTGCCGACCAAATTTATTTTTTGTGTCTAGTCTCATAAATTCACTCCAACTCAGATTTTCAAGACATGATACAATTATTTTTCTTTATTTTTATATAATTTATTGTATGTGTCACGGGTTATGTTTTCATCGGATTCTATGCAGTTTAAAACATTGATTCTGCATAGCATTAAAAAAATAAATAAATAGTGATCCCTAGACGTTAAATTAATTTTTATTATATATGAACAATATGCCGAATGATATTATTTAATTGTACCCGATATATACAAATTTTGATGCCTTTATGAGTTAACGAGGGCTCAGTTGTGTAAATATCGTATTTATTGGCGTATAACACGCACCATTCGCGCCGCTATGCGGTATGTACTATGGGTCCTTAACATTATATCGGCGTATAACACGCACACATCATTTGCCCCCTATTTTCAGGGAGAAAAAGTGCATGTTTTACGCTGATAAATACGGTAATACTCAATAGTCCTAAGTCCTAACTCCCAACGTAACCATGTTCCTAACCAAAGATAGGCCTAATCACATTAATATTCATTACAGTTTCATTTAACTAAAGTAACTAGATTTTTTTCATATGTAGACTTTGTATGCAGTAAAACTATACTATGGTAATTATAGGCATATTTAGACCTAATTTTAATCATAATAATTAGCACAAAATTTTTACAGCTGGATTTTATTGTTAGGGTACTTCACATATTACTTCGGCCTTGGCAAAAAAGAAGCTGGGTTACATTTTTTCAGACTATGATCCCCTTGCTCCCAGTATCATACATCTATTTATATTAGGTCTATATTAAAATTATGTAGCAATAAAGCCAAATCTGAACACGAGGAAGACTAAAGCAGACAGTGTTTAATCAGTACTGTAGATTTTATAATTAGTGCAGAGTTGTTGTCACTAGTACGAACTAGTAATAAATGAATGGGGCAATAATTTGCCAGCATCATTGAAAGCACGGTTTTCAACCGTGTACTACTTAACAGGATGAAAAACGCTGTAGACCCTCTGTTGCGGGACGAACAAGCCGGCTTTCGCACCAACAGATAGCGACACTGCGCATCATTCTAGAGCAGTCACTAGAGTGGAACTCGCCGCTCTATGTCAACTTTGTTGACTATGAAAAAGCCTTCGACAGTGTTGACAGGCAAACCCTGTGGAGATTGCTAAGGCATTACGGGGTGCCACAGAAGATTACTGATATAATCAGAAACATGTACGAAGGGATAAACTGCTGAGTTATCCATGGCCAGCAGTTGACAGATGCTTTCCAGGTGAAGACTGGTGTGAGACAAGGTTGCTTGCTGTCACCATTCCTCTTCCTGTTAGCCATTGACTGGGTGATGAAAACATCTACACAGCAGAAAAGGAATGGCATCCAATGGACCTTGTGGGATCAACTGGATGATCTTGACTTTGCTGATGATCTTGCACTTCTTGCACATACCCAACAACAGATGCAGGAGAAAACAAACATTGTCGCAGCCACTTCTGCTAGCATGGGTCTCAACATTCACAAAGGGAAGAGTAAAATCCTCAAGGTTAATGCCACCAGTACATCACCCATTATGCTTGAAGGAGAAGCCCTTGAGGAGGTGGACAGTTTTGTTTACCTTGGCAGCATGGTAGATAAACAAGGTGGTACAGATGCGGACGTCAAAATAAGGATAGGAAAAGCAAGAGCAGCCTTCCAACAACTCAAGAATGTTTGGGTCTCTAACAACTTAGGCAGCAAGTTAAAAGTAAGGATTTTTAACGCTATGGTAAAACCTGTGCTGCTATATGGAGCCGAGACATGGAGAACAACGGCCGTAAACCTGACCAGAATCCAGTCCTTCATCAACAACTGTCTAAGAAGGATTCTCAGAATTCACTGGCCAGACAAAATCAGCAACCAGGAACTGTGGCAGCGGACAAAACAGAAGCCCATTGAGGAAGAGATTCTCCAGAAGCGGTGGAGGTGGATTGGTCATACACTAAGAAAACCTGCTTCTAACACAACAAAGCAAGCCCTGAAATGGAACCCACAGGGTAAGCGGAAAAGAGGCCGTCCAAGAAACACTTGGCGCCGAGAATTGGAGACAGACATCAAGAAAATTGGCCATGAATGGAAGATCCTGGAGAAACTGGCCCAGGATAGAGATGCCTGGAGGTCTCTCGTAGGTGGCCTATGCCCTTGGAGGAACCGCAGACGCCGACGATGATCGGTGGATGCCCCTCATGGACGAGAAGGCTTCAACAATCATTGAAAGCAAGTTTTTAAAGCTCCGATTTTGAATTGATTTGATTGGCTGGACTACGAATAGCTCTTGAGAAGCTTTCATTTTCATATAAATTATACAGTTCAATAATAATCAAACATTAACTAGCTTTAATCATTTTTGAGCTATTTGTACCTGGGTCCCTTCAGACTAAATGCGATTTGTATGTCTTTTGTGATAATTTATTCAAGTTAAACTGAAGAAGTAAGTTTACAAACATATCCATCCATCCCTGTGGCGCTACAGCCCATGTAGGGCTATGGCCTGCCTCACCACTTCCTTCCACTCAGACCTAACTTATGCCTTTCTTTTCCATGCTTGGACTTTCAGCTGCTGTAGATATTTTTCTACATCATCTATCCACCTAAGCCTTGGTCTGCCTTTGAGCCTTTTTCCTCTGGGGTATTGGTGATGTACCCTCTTCGTTCCTCTGTCATTTGGCATTCTCTCTAGGTGTCCTGCCCAGCGTAGCCTGCCTCTTTTTATTTATTTATTTATTTATTTAGGCATTTTTATATAGCGCTTATCATAAAGCTCTAAGCGCTTTACAATTATTAAAACATGTTAAGTAAGTAAATACAAATGAGACACTAGGATAGTAACTACTATTCTATAACGAGGACACTTTGACACTTCAGGATCAACCCGAAACAGAAAATGAGGTAGGGCAAGGGGGATGCATCACAGGTCATAGGCGGACCTAAACAGATGAGTTTTAAGGGACTTTTTGAAAATGGACGAGGTTTCACTATGACGTATATGGAAGGGGAGCTGGTTCCAGAACGTGGGCCCATGGAAGCAGAAGGAGCGTTCAACGATGGTCTTAGTTTTAGTTCTTGGGATTGAGAGGGTTCTACTGTCAATGGAAGAACATAGTTGTCTTGTGGGGATGTAAGGAAGCAACAGTTCAGAGAGATAGACAGGAAAGTGAGGGTCAGTGAACGAGTTGAAGCAAAGATTGGCAGACTTGTATTTGATGCGAGAGGATATTGGAAGCCAGTATCTTTGATTTAAAAATGAGTCTGCATGCTGAGTTCTGTGCCTTCTGAAGTTTTTCTATGTGGTGTTGAGGAATGCCTGAGAGAAGAATGTTACAGTAGTCAAATTTTGAAAGAATGAGTGAAGAGACGAGAGTTTTTGTGGCATCAAAGGAGAGGAGGTGTCTAATGGTGCTGATTTTTCTAATTTCATTATATGCTGATCTGCATATATTCGTGACATGTTTCTCCATGGAGAGGGTGTCCGTAAGCGTGACTCCAAGGTTTCTGGCAGAGGGAGAGAGTGTAATGTCAGAGTTGCCAATAGATATAGAAGAAGGAGCGAATGGAGGGAGAGGTTTGTTTTGAGAGTGGATGAGAAGGATTTCCGTTTTATCATCATTTAGCTTCAGTTTGTTGCAAGTCATCCATTGCTTTACATCGTCCACGCACTCCTGTATGCGAAGGATTGTGGCATCAAGTTGATCAGGAAAGCAAGAGTCACTGATTTGAGTGTCATCAGCAAAGGATTGACTGGAAACTGAGTGGTGGCTAATGAGAGATGATAGAGGTTTAGTGTAGAGGATGAAAAGGACCGGCCCAAGGACCGATCCTTGAGGAACTCCAATAGACAGGGCTGAAGGTTTGGAAGAGCGGTTGGAAATAGAGACTTTTTGAGTTCTGTCAGAAAGATATGATTGAAACCAGTTTAAAGCTGAGCCAGTAAGTCCGAAAGAAAGATGAAGGCGGTCAAGAAGAATCTGGTGGTCAATGGTATCAAATGCAGCAGAGAGATCTAACAGAGTGAGAATAGAGAGTTTGCCATCGTCCATCGCGCGCAGGAGGTCACTCATGACTCGGACCAGTGCTGTTTCTGTGCTATGACCAAGTCGGTAGGCGGACTGAGAGGAAGGATAGAGATTGCGAGAATGAAGATAGCCAGAGAGCTGAGAGAGTATGAGTTTTTCTATGATTTTTGAGAGAAAGGAGAGGTTGCTGACGGGGCGGTAATTCTTGAGTGTGTTTGGATCAAGTGAGGGTTTCTTTAGGAGGGGCAGGACAATCGACCGTTTAAAAATGGGAGGGAATATGCCAGAGAGAATCGAAGAATTTATGATGGAGGTGAGTGCTGGGAGGAGGACGTCAAGGCATTCTACAAGCAGTGGGACGGGGATAGGATCGAGGGCACAAGACTTGGGAGCAGACCTGATGATGACTCGCCTCACCTCATCCTCAGTCACAGGCAGAAAACTATCAAATGATTCTGTCTGACTAACGTCCTCCGAGAACGGTGAGGAAGGTGTAGGGGTCGCGCTGTCTAGCTCCTCCCTGATCATTTGCACCCTGGTGATGAAAAAGTCCGCAAAGGCGTCAGGGAGTTGCTCTGGTGCAATGTCGGTAGGGAGGGTGAAATTCTTGCTGTTGCCCAGGAGACGGTTACTAGCGCTGAACAACGCCTTGGTTGATGCACATGATTCGACCTTTGAGCTCCAGTAGTCATCCTTTGCCCTCTGTACAATCTCTGCCACCGCATCTTTCGCTGTCCAAAAGATCTGTCTGTCGACACTCAGTCCAGTCTTTACCCAGCGTCTTTCTGCCACTATCATGGGATCCTGATATAGACTGTATAACTCCTGGTTGGTTCTTATTCACCATCCATATTCATCCTTTGCTGGCCCATATATTTTCCTGAGAACTTTCCTCTCCCATGTCTTTAATAGGTTTTCTGCTGTTTTTGTTAGGGTCCAAGTTTCACTTGCATATGTTACAACTGGTCTGATCACAGTTTTATAAATAGTTTTTTTTGTTTATCTTGTAATTTTTTACTTTTGAGTATTTTCTGACTACTGAAGTATGCTCTGTTTCCGGCTGATATCCTTTCTTTTATTTCTGTTAGTAATTCGTTTCTTTCATTTAACAAGGATCCTAGGTATTTGAATTGATTTACTTTTTCAAAAGTTTGGTTTCTAATTTTAATTGTTTCATCTGTTTGTTCCTCTCTTATCATGGTCATGTATTTTGTTTTTTGGTTGTTAACTTCCAGCCCTGCTTGTAAAGATGCGTCTTCTAATTCAATAAAGGATTTTGATATGTCTTTTATACTTTTCCCTAGAAGTGCTATGTCATCAGCATATGCAAGATACTGAAGTGGTTGGTTGTAGAGTGTGCCCGTTGGTTGTGGGTCTTGAGTTTCCCTCAGAAAGTATCCTGTTATCGTTCCTCGAGTGTCAATGTGTATGTTTCTAATAACTCTCTCTAATGTTAGGTTAAAGAGCATACAAGACAGTGAGTCTCCCTGTCTTAGGCCTCGTCTAATATGAAATTCCCTTGAATATTCTCCTTGAATCTTGATTTTGCTTTTTGAGTTGTTTAGTGTTACATAAAATTAGCCTTGTCAGTTTGTTAGGTATCCCAAACTCCTGCAGAGTGTCATATAAATAGTTTCTTTTGATGCTGTCATAGGCCATTTTATAGTCTACATAGAGTTGATGTACTGGTATATTATATTCATAGCATTTCTCTAATAGGCATTTGATGGTGAAAATCTGATCAGTCGTTGATCTTTTAGGTCTGAATTCACATTGGTAATCACCAAGTATTTCTTCAATGTAAGGTTGTAAGTCTTTTTACAAACATATAATCCATTCAATTATCTTTCATTTGAAACCAAATTTTGCCTACAAACCCAGCAATAATATTTTAAATAGTTTTAATCCCAACCTCTCACTTCCGGGTCCAAATTGCCACTTTGAGCTTAAAAATGACAACTAATAACTATTAATGTTTCAGTTGTATGGCCTGCGCCAGAAAATTCTATTGATTGTAGCTTCACATAATACTGCATAGATTGTATTGTAAATGTCACCTTAAAATTTGAGCCCTCTGTCTTTAATACTTATTAATAGCAAATAAAAACTAAAAACAAAATAGTTCAGATGAATAATAATTTGATCACAGTTTTCAGAATTAAAAACAAAGCCAAACAGTGGGGGAAATAAATTACTGAAATTTCATCTAAATGATGGAGTGATAATCTTGTTGTCTTTGGAAAGCTGAAAGCCAGCCCTTTCCAATGATTATGCTGTTTGTGTATCAGATGTATTTGAAAATTTGAGTACTCAACAGGGTCGGTTTAGTACCCCTCAGACACTGTCAGGTGGTCGACTGTAGTTTGAGAAAAATATATGAATTCCTATGCACACTACACATATCTTATTTAAAGTTAAAAAACGGGTTAAAAAATACAATATTTAAAGATAAACTTAATGGGAAGTATGGACCTGCTTTGGTAATTGAGATGATAAATAATCGGTTCAATATTTGTAGCTGCTACCCATATACCTTATAGCTAACCAGTCAAGCCAGGTTTAGAACCCCTGGTGGGCCAGATCTGGAGGACCCCTGCTCTAAACTAAGAGGCAGTACAACCTTTAAATTATTTTAAAAATTGTAGCCTACTATCAAGGCAAAAACTATCATTTATTTAGTCCCAGCTATCTTTTGTCATTTACTGGGACCAGAGTTGTCACGCACCAATATATGGCTTTGCAAATTTAATCAGTTCTAAGACTTGGTTTGTTTGTTGCACAATACGTAACAAAGGACTGTTTAGTAATTCAGAAAAAATGTTTCTTAGCTGGGAAAACTGCCAGCTTATTTATAGGGAGGGTGTTAGAACCCCAGAAAAGACATACTAGAAATTGCATCACCCAATAACATTCTTAAGAAAAATTTAGAATGTATTCAAACATAAACAAACCTTTTCCCAATCAAGTGAGGGTGGGGTTGTTACAGAGCTACACATTTAATCGGTGAGATCAATATTAAAAAAAGGTGTAGACAAGCGGTGGTCGCCACAACACTATGTTGAAGTAAAATTAGGTCAACACACATGCTATAAAAGTGTCATCGCATGACTTTTGCAGTCTCATTGCTACTTTTCAGTTTTGACTTAATTGTGCCCCATATATTCAAGTTTTACAATTTACATTTTTTTCAACATCCCATCTTTTGATCCTTTACACATCCAAGGCCCCCTGGGGCCACAGGGGTTACAGGGTCCATGTGACCACTCTGAAAGTGACATTTGTGGTCTATACAGAAAGCTCTTCTGTCATTGAGGCGTTTAAAAAAATGTTCAAATTGTGTTGATACGGTAGTATTAATCACGAACAAATTAATTTATTTCCAATTCTTATCAAACTTGACTATAAAAATAATATTTTACTAAATAATTATCGGAATACGCTTTCATTTTGTTCATCCAACTGACAATGATATTTATTGTTGCCATTGAAGTGGAGCTGGCAATTTTTATTAAAAACACTCAAATATGATCACTGTTTATTTACCTTAAATTAACAGCACTAAAATATATTTCCCTTTCGAGTGATCTCAAGTAAATCTTTTAATTTGAAATTTACAACCATCTCTAATTCCAAAAAGAAATTCTGTGTTAATTTTGAAACACAAAACTGCACTACCTACTTTATTATTATTGGCTATTCGTTACAGTATTGATCACATACACAAATTAGGACTATAGAAGGTCTATAATTCAATGATTATTTTTGCCTACAAATTGGCTTATTTTATTTAAATTTTATGTACCCGGTATTTTAAAAAAATGGAAACATAGCTGTATAAAATTGCAGTCTTTTGTTGGTTTTACATCCGCTTTTATCTTAATTTAATTTTTAGGATATAAACTCACCAGATGTTTTTGAATCAAGTGATCTGCCTGAAGCTGAACAGAATTTTGCCCCTCAGACAGTAAGTAATGAGACCACCCTGCCAATGTTATTTTTGCTTGCTATTAAAACAGGGCATTTTGATAGACATTTATATGATGTTTTTAAATGAAAATATCGGAATTAGGCTTCAAATTAGGCTTAGAAATAATGTTTTTCCTGTTTGTTACAGGAGGAATTTGAGAGTGATAATGTTGAACGTGTGAACATTAATACTGATGCTGCCTTTAAAGCTTTTAAAGGAAAATCAGTTGCAACTGGAACCCTAGGTAAAATTAAATTTTATTTACCTTTCTTTTTACTTCTACAAGGTAAAATTTTAAATTCGTTGCTCTGTCTTTAAATGCAAATTCTTTTCTTCCCAATAATCATTTAGTCCATAAATGCTTCTTTTAACACAGACTTTTCAGATAGTATTGGAAAATCAAGAAGAATTGGATATTTTACGGATAGAACTGAATATGAACTGGTAAGAATAAATTATGTACTTTGAATATCAGTTGATATAGTTTATATTTAGTTGGTTTTTTTTTGAACATTAAAATGTTAACTTTTTGTTTTCTGCTAAATTAAATACAGACCTTTACTTCTTAACATTGTAGTTGTTAACTACAATTTTAATACGATAATAAATTGAAAATAACCTAAAATGATAATTATATATAAATCAGTAATAAAAATCAAATATTTTCTAGTTCTACAAGTATACAAAAATATATTTGTGATAGTTAATTTAGAAATAAATTTAGGATACATTTACACTTTTTTCCTGTAAATAAATTGCATTTTAATATCAATCATGCATAATTAGCTCCATTTAGAAAATAATGATTTTAAAAAAAAATTATCAAATATAATAAAGTATAAACATGTTTATATAGTTCCATAACTATTTAAAAAATGATTGAAAAATTACAGAAGTGTAGTTTGAGCAAATCATTTTTATTGTAAAGTAGTTTGAGCAAATCATTTTTATTGTTAAGTGCCAACTATATTTCATATTACTGCAGACCATAAATGACAGTATGCTTTTTTTGTTCAATATTTTAGGGAGAAGGAGAGAGTAAGCAAGAAACTCTTCAACAAAAGTTTCAAAGAATACAGCATGAGCTAAGGGAACTGGCAGATGAAGTTGGGAAAATTAAGGTTCAAGTGTTGTTCTAGTTTATTTAATTTCTGGGAACAAAGTAACTTCCCTCAGTATTGGTTTATTGTGAATTGTATAAGTTTAAATATCCTTTATGATTTATAGATTGAATTGATATTAATTTACTTTGTGACTTAAATTACAAGCACCTTTCTTACACCATCTGTTGTTTTACTCCATTCATGTCTATTTTCTCCAGGAAAATGTTAAGGAAGCAGGCTCAGGTGAAGGTTTATCACCTGTTGATCTAGGAAAGCAACTAGAATATCTTCAGCATCAACTTGCAGATCTTCATTTAGAGAAACTCTTGGGTCCAGAGGCTCATGTAGACCTGTCTGATCCCCAGGGGGCCTTAAAGAAGTAAGCCTAAGAAGTAACATACATTTTCATGAAATTTAATTATTTTTTTTCATTTACAGGTCATGAAACTTGAAAAATAGGATTTTTTATTTTACTTTATATTCCAAGAGATAAAACTTACCCATAAATTAACTTTGTATATTTTATAGGTGAGAAAGACTAACAGTTTTTCAGGCCTTTTAAGGGCAAATATTTGAGGATAAATATTTTAAATAAAGATTATATTTCTCCATAGGAGACTTTTAACCCAAATAGAGAGCTTTAAGCCAGGAAGTGATGTAAAAGGAAAAGAGAAAGAGCCAGTTGGCAGCAAGGATAAAGACTGTGTATTGTATGAGCTTTACTACAGACCAGAACAATCACAGTTTAGTAAAAATGCAAAGGTATTGATTTATTTTTGCTTCAACAGTTAATTTGCTGCACCTAATCAATCGTTGTTTTATTTATTGAAACTGTTTAAAGATCACATTATAAGTTATGCATTTAGATTAAGAAAAAAAGTTTAAGACACCCCATTCAAATATTTCGCTTAGCTTTCAGTTTAAAAAAATAATTTTCAGTTATCATGTCACCCTTTTTTTTTTTATGCATATTTTTTATTTTCTTATATTTTAACCATCCTTTTGAAATCATTTTAAACCATTAAAATTATGCCTTAATTACAGCTTGCCACTCTTGAGGAAAGATTAGAGAGGCTGGAAAATGTGATAGGCAGGAGTTTTGATAAAATGGTAAAGCTCTTGTTTGAGCCAAAAAATAGGATAAAATGTTGGTAACAAATGCATTGTAATATCCGTGACAATTTACTTAACAATATTTGATTTATTATTTGCAAGTAGGAATAACATATTGATACCAGTAGCAACCAACTTAAAAAATTTTGAAAATATAGTCTGTCTCATATAAGTACGATGTAGTTATTGGTACTACATTTTATTAAGTTATCTTTTTTTCATTTCAGAATGTACTCACTGCCGACAGTGAAAACAAATCCTTAATTGTGAGTATTTGTTTTCTTCACTTTTAAAGTAATTTAATAAAAGTTAAATATTAAAAAATATATTCCTTTTTTAAATGCCAGAAAGTTCTATTAATAAAGTACATTATTTTGAATAATATATCAGGAACACTGCGTACAAGCCGTGTGAAGTAAATAAATAGTCAAACAAGATATCTTTAGGCTTGAGAAGAAAAGACAGAACAATTAAAAGGGTCTTCGTTATGAAAACAATACATATAAAGAAATAACAGCTCAATATAAATTAAAATAAACCTATGAGTTCGAAAATCTCAATAAAGTCTTGAACTAGAAACGCTTCTAAATATTTAGCTACATTGACTTTGAAATTTTCACTCTTCATGCATATATTTTTTTAATTTTCTTAAAATGAATTGGAAATATTGCTTAAAAAACACATATAAAATTAATAACTATTTCTTTTTAAAAATAATTTGCACAGCCAATTGGTTGTGCTTTTGTCAACTTATCCACCATCTTGACAATACTTTCAAATGTCTGATACATGATGACGTCTCAACTAAGGAAAATATTTGTTGTCTTTTTTTTTGTGCACACAGGGAGCTGTGGCAACATTGAATTCCAAACTCTCCTTGCTAGATGCCTCAAATACTGAGACAGTGGAGGCAAGACTCAATGCTGTGCTGCAAAAGATGCAGCAAATAGCAGAGAAAAAAGAGAAGGAACCACAAGCTGATCCTGATAAACAAAAAAGGGTGAGTTTTCAGATAATTGCATCTTTTTATTCTGTTATCTAATTTGTAAGGGTGTCTACTGAGGTGGTGAAATAATCTCAGTGATAAATTTTATGTGTGGAAGGACCAAAAAGTTTGTTCTGAGTTCATTGTGGAATAGCTAGAGACTGTGATGCCCAGGACACTCCTTGACTCGGTCACCCCTAATTCACAAAATATTTTTAAAAATAAGCAGTTTTATGTATTTTTAATGTCCACATGGAAAAAAGTAAAAGGGTAATAAGGGGAGAGACTGCAATCAGGTTAGCACAATATAAAATGAGTAAAACAAAGTGGCACTAATCATTTGCTGCCCACAGATATTACCCCTAAGCCAAGTGCAATTTTTTATTTCTATACTCTTTTTTTCTGTTGTTTTGTTCGCTGACAAAGGCTTCCTGCTGACAAGTGTCTGGGTGTATTAATGTGAAATGAAAAATTTATAATTAATATTATTATATTTTATTTACAGACATTCTATTAAAACATTTGTTTGAACTCTTAGATATCAGAACTTTATGACATTGTGAAGAAATGGGAAGGAACTGCTGAAACTTTACCACAAGTTGTGGACAGACTGATTTCCCTCAAAGAACTTCATGAACAAGGTTTGGAAACTTTAGTTAGTTATAAAAATAACACTACAAAAGTATCTTTGAAAGTTTTTATTCCTTACCTAGCAGTTATATTTATTCTTTGATGATAAAAACCTGTTTCTAATGACACCCACAGCACTGCAATTCAGCCAAGCCCTATCATATTTAGACACAGCCCAACAGGAGCTTAAGGCAAGCATCACCGCACATAGTGACATGCAGAAACAGGTAAGTGATGGAAACTTTTTTGTTTTTGAATTGTATGATGCCAATGATAGCTTGAATATGCTTTTCTGTTATAATTGCTATGAATCCTAATCAAGTACAATATATCATCTCTTATGTATATATTACCAGACATGTTTACCCTCAAACTCTTAAAATCGTACAATATCATCACAAAATTGTTCATTACATTATCATAGTAGTAAAAATAAACATACAGTATATATAACGTATACACCTCAAAATCGTACATTGTACGCCAAAATCGTAAGAGTAAACAGGTCTGTATTATTCTTCTGGTGTGACTGTGGACTGCTTCCTAATGGACTGCTTGCTAATCAGCGAATTTGGTGTTGAGAGTATATTACAAATTACTCTAAATGTTTGAAAGAAAGTATGAGTTCAATAGCGCATAAATTATAATTCCTGTTAACTACTCTAAATCATTTTTTTAATGTATATAACGCAACTGCTATGGGCGCGTAACATTTTCTTTTCACAAAATGAAATCGTCTGAATTTAAACACGGTGTAAAAATATTCACTTTAAAAGTGGTTGGGACATCAGAATATTTAATATAGTTCATGGGCGTGAAATAAAAAGTGTTCAATGATGTATCTTGGAGGGAAGGGGTGTAGCAAAAATTAGGATTCTTAAATGTGCGTTACTTGAGTTCATGTTTTGTCAAGTGACTTTAGTAGCTGGGAAGTTAACGCATTGCTTTCGCCATTGTTTTGTGGGCTATAACTAGTGATTTGAATATTACTGCAGACATAAATGTTTAAACATAGTTTTGAGTTTCCAAAACTTTTAAGTATCCAGAATGTTTCACATTTCTTCACTGTTGGTGGTAGCCAAAAGGTATATATTAACAAGGAAGTCTCAGTAATGAACTTGTGCATAGATTTTCTTAATTATAGCTAAAATAAATATCAAGAAGGTTTAGCAATTAATGAAGAATGGCCAACAACCTGTGTATCACTCTTATAAGTGTTCTCACAATCTACGCTTTTTTCCACAGCTAGAAACAAGCCTTGAGGAGAACAATAAAATAGTACGCCAGAATGTGGAAAGCATTGGCAAACGCCTTGACAGTATCAAGAAGTCCTAAATATAAAAGTCTTGTTTTCCCAAAATCATTAGTCTCTTATTTCTAAATATAAAAGTCTCGTTTTCCCCAAATCATTAGTCTCCATTATTTAAATGTAGTTAATTTATTTATTTTAATAAAACAAAAATCTTTATGCATTTTTTGGTTTGTTCTGTTGAAAATAGGATTAGATATTTCAAGCTTTCTACTTTTATTATAAATTAAATGGGTATTTACTTGGAAGGACTGGTTACTTATCATATAATAAATTGTTCGCAATTTATAGGACTTAAAAAACAAAATGTTTTATCTTATATTATATATATGCTATATGATGAGCTAATTGATTATTTTTGTTCTTAAACCTCACATAGTTCAATAACAATTTTAAAAAAACACGGTTGTTTGAACAAAATATGCATTATATTTGTAGCAAATTTATGCTGCTATCGTCTTGTGCAATTCTTTTTGTGCTTTTGTCTTATGTGTTATTGTAGGAAATATTTGTATTTAAATTTAATATGTAAAAACTAGTCGCACTACATATTGATTTATTGCAAAGGCTTTTTCCACTGTAGCAATAATTTAAACAATTAAAAATAAATTAAAACAGATTATAAGAGATAGTTATTATTTACTGAATTTATTGTCATAGGTTTTTGAATTTTTTTCTCCAAATCTATAGATATTTGTAAATCAATTAAAAAAGATTATATTTACATTTAAATTTTAAGCATACATGAACTGTTTTGTCAACTTGACCATGTTGTACTTCATGAAACATTTATAAGTTCTCTTAAACTTAAATTCAGAACATTGATTTGTTTAAAATGAAAACCTTTTTTAAGGTATTATTAAGGAAACATGTACTGGTACTTAACCCTCTTGAGACGAAGCCTTTTTGGACTAATCTTTGTCAAAGAGACTGAACCTTTTTCACAAGCCCAGTACTTTCTTCGCAAAAAAAAAATGTACAAAAAATAAAATAATTACTTTACAAATATAAATCTATTTATATTATCTGAGGAAAAGGACAAATAAATGGAATCAAATGGAAATCTCAAAATTTATACAAATGTGATGTCATGATCTTAAAATTTATACATGCAATTTTTGTTACTCTGTCTAACTTGTAGAATTTTGGGGCATTGTCCAAGTATTGAAGTTGAAGCATAAATAAGTCCTAACAAACATTTGAATGAGATTCAATGTGGAAAAACTGCATAAAAAATTCCACTGCGAGTGCTTATGCTGAATAGCACATGCCTAGGACATATTTTTAAAGCATGAGTCACATCTGTAAATAGAAGCCACCATTTAAATAAGATGAGCAAGAAATAGAGAAGCAATCTGATTAGCTGGTAGGAAGACCAGCCAGCCAATCTTGAGGCTTGTATTATTGGCTTCATATTTTTCAAATTGATTCCAGTCGTTTCAAGAGGGTTACAATAATAATAACAATGAGATCAAATATCTTCTTTTTTTTTTTTTTTTTTAAAGAGTGCTGTACATGAAATTTTCTTTAAATTTTAATTATGATTCTTCTTACTTTATTTTTTTCTTTTTAGTAAATTTCATCCATGTGGAATATTGTTTAGGTCAAAGTAATATGTTGTGGTCCCGTTATCAGCATTGTGTTAAAAACAGTGTATAGCCTGTATTGAAACATTACTTGACTTGTCAGGCTGTGTCTAATTTTTGTGTTTACTGCTATACATGAGAGAAATGGGATTTCCTTTCTGATATTTGCTTAAAACCTCATTATTTAAATCATTTTTTGTTTGTTTTTGTGAATGCCATTAGAAAGAGATAAACCAGCATAAAAACTAGATATCAAAAAGGAATTCCTTAGCCAAACAAAACAAACTCTTTTGTGAACACTAGCAAAGGTAATGAACTACTTGAAGACTAAGCTGTTTTTAGAAAGTTAATTAGAAATCGTAAACACAGGAAATAAAATGTAATTTTCATTTGGCTTTTAATTTAATTTCACTTAATTAATAGTGGTAAAAAAAATTCTAAACTTGCTGTGATTTGTGCAATAGCTTGGGGATAGTATAGTAATAATCTTTTGGCAAATACCTTTGCCTTTTTTTTTACATTTTAAAATACCTTGTAAAATAGGCATGGTAGATTTTGCATTCCTAGGGCACTTTTGGTAACTTGAATTATTATTATTAATCCCATATATATAAGAATAAGTAGTAAAATTTGCACATCTCTGGCAGAGTGGAATATAAGAAAAGACATTATGAATGTCATGATATAAAAAAAACAGTGTTTTGATTCACAATTGGTTTTTAAATGCTGGAATTGGAATTTAAAAAAAAGCTTTGTTCAGAGACTGGTTTGTTGTTACTTGTATTGCAACAATTTATTTAGAGGCCTGCTTGCAGTTTGATATGGATGTGTTTGTTGTTTGTTTAAAGATGTGTTTGTTGTTTGATAGAGATGTGTTTGTTATTTGTTTAAAGATGTGTTTGTTGTTTGTTTAGAGATGTGTTTGTTGTTTGTTTAGAGATGTGTTTGTTGTTTGTTTAGAGATATGTTTGTTGTTTGTTTAAAGATGTGTTTGTTGTTTGTTTAAAGATGTGTTTGTTGTTCGTTTAGAGATGTGTTTGTTGTTTGTTTAGAGATGTGTTTGTTGTTTGTTTAAAGATGTGTTTGTTGTTTGATAGAGATGTGTTTGTTGTTTGTTTAGAGATGTGTTTGTTGTTTGTTTAAAGATGTGTTTGTTGTTTGATAGAGATATGTTTGTTTAAAGATGTGTTTATTGTTTGTTTAAAGATGTGTTTGTTGTTCGTTTAGAGATGTGTTTGTTGTTTGTTTAGAGATGTGTTTGTTGTTTGTTTAAAGATGTGTTTGTTGTTTGATAGAGATGTTTTTGTTGTTTGTTTAGAGATGTGTTTGTTGTTTGTTTTAAAGATGTGTTTGTTGTTTGATAGAGATGTGTTTGTTGTTTGTTTAAAGATGTGTTTGTTGTTTGATAGAGATGTGTCTGTTGTTTGTTTAGAGATTTGTTTGTTGTTTGTTTAGAGACTCAGTTGCTGTTTATTTAGAGACTTACTTGTATTGTCAATGAATTATACTAATTAGAGCAAGAGTGTGACTAAAATATGACAACAGAAAGAAGTTCAGTGTTCAATCACCACCTATGTTCGAACAGGAAAAAGTTATGTGTTTAATCACCAACTATGTCAGAACAGGAAAAGTTTAATCACCACCTATGTCAGAACAGGAAAAGTGTAATCACCACCCATGTCAGAACAGGAAACAGTTATGTGTTTAATCATCACCTATGTCAGAACAGGAAAAAGTTATGTGTTTAATCACCACCTATGTCATAACAGGAAAAATTTTTTAGTGTTCACCACATATGTCAGAGAGGCGGGCATGTTTGTTAATAATAAGCTGTACAACTTTAGGAATGACGTTTGACACCACTACCTTTGCAAGAAAATACGATTTGTATGGTATACAAACACTGAACTAAAAATTGTTTATATTCCATGGCGCCCACATAAAATGCTTTTTTTCTATTTTGGAATATCGTTGATGGCGCCCTAAGCACCTGGCACCCTGGGCAACTGTCCATGTTGCCGGTACCTTGACTCTGCCCTGGATGTAATATGACCGGGGGCGGGGTGCAGAAAGTACGTAAATTAATAAATTAATGTATGAAATGACAAAGACCCATATTCATGTAATACTATCTGTATTTTCTTAATTAGTTATAAGTTTCCCTCTTGCTTGTTAATATTGAAATTTCAACGTAAAAGCTAAAATTGAGTGAATGAACAAAAATCTCCATACAATTCCAAAATGTCCACCAATCCATTCTATGTTTATATCCCTTAGGCGGCTTTGTGTTATTGATTTTAAAAATAATATTTTTTTATCAACGCACCGAGAATATAATGAACAAACATAATGTTGGACAGTTCAAAACTTACAATTTTGGACAGTTCAACACTTACAATTTCGGACAGTTCAAGAATTACAATTTTGGACAGTTCAACACTTACAATTTTGGACAGTTCAACACTTAAAATTTCGGACAGTTCAACACTTACAATTTTGGACAGTTCAACACTTACAATTTTGGAAAGTTCAACACTTACAATTTTGGGCAGTGCAACACTTAAAATTTCGAACAGTGCAACGCTTACAATTTCGGACGGTTCAACACTTACAATTTTGGACAGTTCAACACTTACAATTTTGGACAGTTCAACACTTACAATTTTTGGGAAGTGCAACACTTAAAATTTCGAACAGTGCAACGCTTACAGTTTCGGACGGTTCAACACTTACAATTTGTGATTCCCATTAATTGCTGATTTGGATTACACAATTTACTAGGTGTCCCCAAATTTAGGCCCCATTTTTATAACAAGGATTTCCGCTAAACTGTTGTAGGTATTACGAGAGAGAATAATACACATGATTCTCGTCATCCTTGCCCAGTTAAGGTTTTCTTACAGGCGCCCAGTGCCCTCCTAAGGCATGGGCCCACTGCGCACTGGCCCAGGGCCTCACGCTTCTGTAATGATGGCCCCGGAGGCGCCAGTGTCAAATTCCAACACCTACAATTCGAAAAAGCGAATACATGTTTATTGATTAAAGCAGGGTAGGCGAACTTTTTCTGATGAGGGTCGTTGAGAAGATCATGTAGGTAAGAAGATCATGTAGGTAAGAAGATCATGTAGGTACGAAGATCATGTAGGTATGAAGATCATGTAGGTAAGAAGATCATGTAGGTACGAAGATCATGTAGGTATGAAGATCATGTAGGTAAGAAGATCATGTAGGTACGAAGATCATGTAGGTAAGAAGATCATGTAGGTACGAAGATCATGTAGGTATGAAGATCATGTAGGTAAGAAGATCATGTAGGTACGAAGAGCACGTCGGTAAGAAGATCACGACGGTAAGAAGATCATGTAGGTAAGAAGATCACGACGGTAAGAAGATCATGTAGGTAAGAAGAGCACGTTGGTAAGAAGATCATGTAGGTAAGAAGAGCACGTCGGTAAGAAGATCATGTAGGTAAGAAAAGCACGTCGGTAAGAAGATCATGTAGGTAAGAAGAGCACGTCGGTAAGAAGATCATGTAGGTAAGAAGATCACGTAGGTAAGAAGATCACGACGGTAAGAAGAGCACGTCGGTAAGAAGATCATGTTGGTAAGAAAAGCACGTCGGTAAGAAGATCACGACGGTAAGAAGATCATGTAGGTAAGAAGATCATGTAGGTAAGAAGATCATGTAGGTAAGAAGATCATGTAGGTAAGAAGATCATGTAGGTAAGAAGAGCACGTCGGTAAGAAGATCATGTAGGTAAGAAGAGCACGTTGGTAAGAAGATCATGTAGGTAAGAAGAGCACGTCGGTAAGAAGATCATGTAGGTAAGAAGAGAACGTCGGTAAGAAGATCACGTAGGTAAGAAGAGCACGTCGGTAAGAAGATCATGTAGGCAAGAAAAGCACGTCGGTAAGAAGATCACGACGGTAAGAAGATCATGTAGGTAAGAAGATCATGTAGGTAAGAAGATCATGTAGGTAAGAAGATCACGACGGTAAGAAGATCATGTAGGTAAGAAGAGCACGTCGGTGAGAAGATCATGTAGGTAGGAAAAGCACGTCGGTAAGAAGATCACGACGGTAAGAAGAGCACGTCGGTAAGAAGATCATGTAGGTAAGAAGAGCACGTCGGTAAGAAGATCATGTAGGTAAGAAGAGCACGTCGGTAAGAAGATCAATATATATATATATATTTGATAAATCCAAACAGGTACGACACACTTATTTTTTAATTGTCGAAATGTAATAATGTAGCTAGAAACTGGATATTTTCTGGCATAAGCCAATTACATTCATTTATTTTGAGATTCCAAAGAAGGCAGTATAGCATGGAAAGAGATTTGAAATTTTAAAAACTTTTTTTTTTTTTTTTCCAGGTAAGCGATAGGCATGAAGCTGGTGCTCTTCTGCAAATTAAAATTTAGTTAAGGCTCTTTTGAGGTCATCTTGTTTAAGGCCTACTCCCTATCATCAACATTACCGGTACTTGGAAGTGCTCAACAGATAGGGCTTCTCTGTAACCAGATTTCTCAGTTCATTGTTTGACAAATGTCTTTTCACAACAGTGGGTAGTGCCAAAGATTGAAATAAACTAACGAACAAAAGCTTTTAATTGAGCTCATTAATCGAGCATCTGGGATAAACTTATTGAAATCTTTATTAAGTTTTCCAATTTTTTTTTTTTATTTATTTTTTTTTTTGGGTATCCTTCTGTACGTCAAAAAATCTGAATTAAAGATCGATCACTTCCATTTGAATTTCAACCGACAGCTCGTCAACGACGCAATCAAAAGGGTTTTGAAAGATTATTAAATTTTTTATTACACTGGCATCCAGATAATAAGAACTGTCATGAAACTGCCGTCTCAAGACAGAAAGCACTCACTTTACACAAGAGTTGACATGGCGTGAAGCAACTCCTTGGCAGCTTGTGCCAGCTTGTCCTAGAATATTTTTTAATAGTTTTTTGCTGAAATGCATTCCCATCGATTTAAGGTCGTATGAGTGACAAACTTGGTTTCGCCCTGCAATCTGAGATTCGAATCCGTCCAAATGTTTGGTTAAATATGCAGGAAAAATTAATGTAAAAGACGATAAATAGCGGTATATTCAAGAAAATATAAATCTCAGCTCTCTATGAAACAATTCGTGACAAAACCTTCCCGCAATTCTGACAGAATTGTCATGGGTTAATTCGGGAGATTCCACTTTTATTCCCGCCAAAATACACGGAACTGACGACGATTGAGGCCATCACGGGAGCAAAAGCTTAGTGTTGAAACAACTTGTCCCATGACACAAGGGAAATTGAAATTTTTCCCACGCAATGCCTTTTATAATTTATGCGATGAAGAACATGGTGAAAGACCACGTACGAAAAAAAAACAACAACTATTACTGGAGAGAAATATCACAATTGGTTGGTTCATATCATATCCGCCTTCATATTATTTGTGGTTGTCACAGTTGAGCTAAATAAACACGGATTGGATGAAGATACAATGAATTGAAAGGAAATACATTATTCAGATTAAAAATTGAAAACAAATGTATATATAATGGGGTTTATTTATATGAACTCCACTGAACATACTGGAATCGAGTTTAGAAATAACAAACATGAGTTTGGAACCAACCTAAATAGAAAATAAATAGGTGGCGTCCACGGGCAAATTACTCAGTTTTTACAAAAATGTGAACTTACCCTATAGTTTGGGAACAGTAAGCATTTAATCAGCCTGTTAAATGTGCTCACTAACCTTCCGTCACCGCATCATTTTCACTAACATCTGTTGTGACGCACTTCAGTTTAATCATATGTAAATTGTACTCAGCAATGGATTCTTCAATTCTATTAACATCATCTCCATTTTGTATGCATACTATGTACAAACTCTAATTCTTAATTCACTTCAAAATCCCCAAAATCGCGCGGCCAGATAAACGAGAGTATTGGGCCGGATGTGGCCCGCGGGCCGTAGTTTATCGGCTCATGATTTAAAGGGTTGAGTCTGTTAGATGACGTGTCCTGTCACACTAGATTGAAAGTAGCGATAAAATTATGAAAACTGTTAACTTTTTCGCGGCCCACATTTTTGGAACCACTGGACAGCAGAGAATAACCGTGACACATTTTTGGAACCACTGGACAGCAGAGAATAACCGTGACACATTTTTCAACACGGTCATCAATGTCTATAAATAAATTGATTTTTTTTAGTGGGCTGGGGGCGTGAAAGCTCATTTGATGGTACGCAGGTGGGTGTAAAAAATTACAGGTGAAATAGTTGGTGGGGGGTTGTCAAGTGGTTGAAATTCGTTTACGTAATAAATGGATGGCCCCTTTAAGCGTTATCTACCATATAAGTTGACCTGAAATCAGCCGTCTGATCCAAGGCAATAAGAGGATCCAGAATGGCCGCCATACTCACTGCTAATCACCGTTTCTAACTATCAAATTAAACAACTAAAATATCATCAACATTGATGTTTATTATGACTCTAGTTATAGCCCGCCGAAACAATGGAGGAAGCGATGCGTGAACTGCCCTTCTGCTAAAATAACTTAACAAAACACCCACTGACGTAACGCACTCTATATGAATCCCAATTAGTGCTTCCCCCACCCCAACCCCCTCAGGTACGGCAGCGAACACTTTTTCACGCCAATGAACGATATTATTATTCAAATGTCCCCCCCCCCCCCTTTTTTTTTTTTTTACCCCCCCCCCCCCCCTAAAAAAAA